TCATGTTCCATGTTCATGCCCCACCCCCTCCTTCCCTGTCTATCCTGTATTCTGTCTGTCTTCACTTTCCCCCTCCCCAACGGTCCCCCTCTCTTGTTCCATCTCCCTTCCCTCCCTCCCTTTGTCTCTATCTGTTTCATGTTCCATGCTCATGCCCCACCCTCTCCTTCCCTGTCTACCCTGTATTCTGTCTGTCTCACTTTCTCCCTCCCAACGGTCCCCCTTCTTGTTCCATCTCCCTTCCCTCCCTCCCTTTGTCTCTATCTGTTTCATGTTCCATGCTCATGCCCCACCCTCTCCTTCCCTGTCTACCCTGTATTCTGTCTGTCTCACTTTCTCCCTCCCAACGGTCCCCCTTTCTTGTTCCATCTCCCTTCCCTCCCTCCCTTTGTCTCTATCTGTTTCATGTTTCCATGTTCATGCCCCACCCCTCCTTCCCTGTCTATCCAGTTTTCTGTCTGTCTCACTTTCTCCCTCCCAACGGTCCCCCTCTCTTGTTCCATCTCCCTTCTCTCCCTCCCTTTGTCTCTATCTGTTTCATGTTCCATGTTCATGCCCCCACCCCCTCCTTCCCTGTCTATCCAGTATTCTGTCTGTCTCACTTTCCCCTCCCAACGGTCCCCCTCTTGTTCCATCTCCCTTCCCTCCCTCCCTTTGTCTCTATCTGTTTCATGTTCCATGATCATGCCCCACCCTCCTTCCCTGTCTATCCTGTATTCTGTCTGTCTCACTTCCCCCTCCCAACGGTCCCCCTCTCTTGTTCCATCTCCCTTCCCTCCTCCCTTTGTCTCTATCTGTTTCATGTTCCATGTTCATGCCCCACCCCCTCCTCCCTGTCTATCCAGTATTCTGTCTGTCTCACTTTCTCCCTCACAACGGTCCCACTCTCTTGTTCCATCTCCCTTCCCTCCTCCCTTTGTCTCTATCTGTTTCATGTTCCATGCTCATACCCCACCCCCTCCTTCCTGTCTATCCTGTATTCTGTCTGTCTCACTTTCCCCCTCCTAACGGTCCCCCTCTCTTGTTCCATCTCCCTTCCCTCCCTCCCTTTGTCTCAATCTGTTTCATGTTCCATGTTCATGCCCCACCCCCTCCTTCCCTGTCTATCCAGTATTCTGTCTGTCTCACTTTCCCCCTCCCAACGTCCCCTCTCTTGTTCCATCTCCCTACCCTCCCTCTCTTTGTCTCTATCTGTTTCATGTTCTATGCTCATGCCCCCACCCCTCCTTCCCTGTCTATCCTGTCTTCTGTCTGTCTCACTTTCCCCCTCCCAACGGTCCCCCTCTCTTGTTCCATCTCCCTTCCCTCCCTCCCTTTTCTCCATCTGTTTCATGTTCTATGCTCATGCCCCCACCCCCTCCTACCCTGTATATCCAGTATTCTGTCTGTCTCACTTTCCCCTCCCAACGGTCCCCCTCTCTTGTTCCATCTCCCTTCCCTTCCTCTCTTTGTCTCAATCTGTTTCATGTTCATGCCCCACCCCATCCTTCCCTGTCTATCCTGTATTCTGTCTGTCTCATTTCCCCCTCCCAACGGTCCCCCTCTCTTGTTCCATCTCCCTTCCCTTCCTCTCTTTGTCTCAATCTGTTTCATGTTCATGCCCCACCCCCTCCTTCCCTGTCTATCCTGTTCTGTCTGTCTCACTTTCCCCCTCCCAACGGTTCCCCCTCTCTTGTTCCATCTCCCTTCCCTCCCTCCCTTTGTCTCCATCTGTTTCATGTTCTATGCTCATGCCCCCACCCCCTCCTACCCTGTATATCCAGTATTCTGTCTGTCTCACTTTCCCCCTCCCAACGGTCCCCCTCTCTTGTTCCATCTCCCTTCCCTCCCTCCCTTTGTCTCAATCGTGTTTCATGTTTCCATGCTCATGCCCCACCCCCTCCTTCCCTGTCTATCCTGTATTCTGTCTGTCTCACTTTCCCCCTCCCAACGGTCCCCCTCTCTTGTTACATCTCCCTTCCCTTCCTCTCTTTGTCTCAATCTGTTTCATGTTCCATGCTCATGCCCCCCACCCCTCCTTCCCTGTCTATCCTGTATTCTGTCTGTCTCACTTTCCCCCTCCCAACGGTCCCCCCTCTCTGTTCCATCTCCCTCCTCCCTCCCTTTGTCTCTATCTGTTTCATGTTCTATGCTCATGGCCTACTAAACAAAAGGACACAAGTCACATTTTTCCCGATATTAAAATTACTATGAAAGCAATGAAGTCTAAATTTCACTGACTGTTGTGTAAATTTTGCAAAGGGAAACTAACTGTACAAGGACGATTGTCTTGGTTCTTTAGGGCATTTTTTCTCTAATACATGTAAATACAAAATTCTCAAAACTAGCAAATTGGCACTTGCTTCCTTCAGTAATTTATTCAGGCAAACTTGAGAGGGGAATGCATCTCTATCAGATGAACACTTGAGATGGCATGGCAAAGACATCAATCGACAGAAGCACCTTAAGAGAATGTGACACGGCTCACATTCTAAAATGGTGTACATTGAAGTACACTGTAGGTACATGTTCACTTAAAGGTGCAAGTCAATCTTGTATTACCGTAAAGTGTTTTTATCTAAAATTCATCCAAAAGATGCTTCAGCATGTGACAGTGACAGGTTTGAATAATTATTGAACAGGTTTGATTTCTAACTGTACATATTCATTTCCAACCAAAAATTATTTATGAAATATTTAAAAGTCATAAATTTGATTGAGAATGGTTCAAAATAATAATAATAATAATAGTTCAGTTCTTGTATAGCCCATAATACGTTATGAAATAACATCTCTCTGCGCTTCCAAAGAGCTTTGGAAATTATTACCCTAGTTTTAGCCTCCGGCAGCCTTATCAAAGGGCAGCTAAAAAACCCTGTAGCCCGCATGCCCTAGAGCCTAGCTGGCCACAAGGATGTCCTGCTATGCTTCACATACATCAGGGACCCGTTTCACAAAGCCTCTTTTCAATGACAAAAATCAGTGACAAATCTGCTGATAACCAATCAGAAGCAAGGATTTCAGTAGCTTATAACAAAATCTGTCATTTGTCACTAATGACAAGTTTTGTGAAACGCCCCCCTGTTCATACTCCTTCCACATTCCAATTTGCATTTTTCAATTTTAGTTTGTGGACCACCCTGCTCCCCCCCCCCCCCCCCCCAATCCTTCACAGGAGGTCCAATAATCCTGTAGCCATTAAAGTGCAATTCATTTTATGAACTCATAAAGGGTGTGATACAATTTCATTTCATTTCAATCTCTTCCACTTTCAATTCCATTTTTTCTCCTCTCTTTTTCATTTCATCACTTTCACACGCTATATTTCCCTTCTAACATAATGTACATGTAAAGGTAGCTACAAAACCCCAGTAGATCCTGTTTATACTTGGAACTACCAATATTCATGAAGTGTGTTACTTTGCTTCCTGTATTTTCTTCTTTACTTTTGTAGTCAACAGAATGTATGTACCGGTAATGCATGTAATCCAACTCTTGGGAGGCATACATGTCCTTAGCAGCAATGACGGTTTTCAAAGCCAAAGTGATATAAAACACATTGGCCCGAATTCACAAAGGAGGTTTACATTTAACCCATGGTTTTAACCTTCATTTACATAACCCATGGTTTAAAAATTAGGGTACCTTGCTTGCGCGTCTAATATTGGACCTCTTGACTGTGTTGCGTTTATTTTACGCTAATTTTAAACCACGGGTTATGTAAATAAGGTTTAAACCATGGGTTAAATGTAAACCTCCCTTGTGAATTCGGGCCATTCAGTAGTCAATACGCAACCTAAACATGTGCCCCCATCCTCTCACATTTCAAACCTTTTTTCCCCCTCTCTATCCTTTCTCTTGTTTCTCTTTTTTTTCTCTCATTCTTTTCCTTGCTAGGGAATTGTGCCCTCCCCACACAATTCTGGATCTGCCCATGGCTAGCATAGACAATGTATTCTACTGGTAACCACATCGCTGAGTCTTACATGTACATGCCAGTTCGTTCGTTCGTGTCTCCTTAGATCAAGATTAATGTATCTTGATCTTCGGAGTAGTTGCTACAACCGGCCGTGTTTGACACGTTGCCCGGGGTGCGAGATAGGACTCTTGTAGCGTGCCCCCATTTAAAACAATTATACAATAACAGTTAACATTACATTTAATTAATAGTATGAAAATATTAAAATTACTCTCATGTTACAGGAAAAATATTATGTATATATATTATGAATCAATTGATTTGGTCGATCCAGTTCGATGGCACAAACACGGCACTACTGGACAGAGATCCTAATAATTACAGAGCTTGGTCTTGTTGCTCTGTTCGCCAGCAGTTTGAGGATATGGAATCCCGCGGCACATTACTCACAAGAGTTCTAACAAGCCAAGCTTATACAGAGCCTATAATAAGTAATGTTGTGCATGTACCACCCACCCTATCGATCAAAAACTCAGAACTCATAACTGAATTAAAAAAAAAAATTAAAATAAAAAAAAAAAGAAATGAAAGAAAGAAAAAAAAAAGAAGAAAGAAGAAGAAAAAAAACACGAAATGGTAACCATCTAAAATTTCATAGTTGTGATAAATATCTATAAAGATTTATCAAGCAACAAAAATAAATAATATCATGTTCAAGAAAAGGATATATACATTTTTATTCTTCTTTCATGTCCTCAAATGCTCTGCCAGGCCTTGGCACACTGAAGAGCCTTCTCATTTGCTGCCACCAGGTCTTCCAGGCAGCATTGGTGAATTAGGAGTGGACATCGTAATAGGTGTGACATGGATTGCACGGATGTTCCACACTCGCAGTTGGTGTCTGTGTCATCGGTATATCCCCATTTATGCATGTTGTATTTACATCGCCCCACCCCTGTGCGAAGCCTATTGAGCCTACATGCGAGTAACTGTAACATATCGTGCAAATGCCCAAAAGACCATCTAAAAATAACAAATTACGTACCGGTATAACTTGTATATTCTATTTAAGATTAAAAAAGAAAGAATGAGCTTTTCTTACCTGTATCTCCTTTGACCGAGCACCCCTTGACGAAGGCTTGACCGTGCTGCATGTCATAAACCTCACCTTTTAACTTATCAGCAATCACATCTACCAGGGCTATTTCACTTGCTATATTCTGTGCAAAGGAACAAAAAGGAATCCTTATTACAATAAAGAACGTCCTTATAATAAATTTACATACATGTACATGTACACACACACACAACAAAATCAAGGCATCTGGTTGACTAGATCCCTTTTTCAGTTTTCCAGAGTTTTACGAGATTTCCAGTTTACTTATTCTCCAATACTGCGCATTATTCTGCCAATGCTCCTAAATTGCACAAGTAATGAAGGTATTCACAAGCCAGCTCATTTGAGCGATGCACACCAAGCACCACCAACAGTGTGATACAAAGGGCACCCCCCCCCCCCTCCCCGGGTCCTCTTTTACTCTTTTACCTGTGTCATAATGCTATAGGCGCAAGCCATGCCCACTTGCCCGACACCAACAATGGTCACTTTGGTCGGAGAGCTGTCGTCTAAATGGTCAACGACCATGTCCATCAGTTTACTGGTGATGGTCGTCATCTTGTTTCTGCAGTTCTGAAAAATGGAATTTAGAATATTTAAAAAAACTTATTAGTCCCTTTCATTGACTGGTTTGGTTTATGTTGCTGTTTAAAATTTGTTTTGTTCCTTTGACTTTGTAAAGTTACTAAAGAAATATGATTTCAGACATATTCATGGAAATTAAACTTAAACCAGTTAAAGAAACAGGCAACAAAATCTGTAATCTGTACCGTAATCTTCACACTGGGATATAAATGGGTGGCTTATACTTATAGTTATAGAGATCTTGAATCTTGATGAGGTAATCCCTGAATTTTGAAGCAGCTATTCCAAGCTATACTGGGATGAGATGCGCTGTGACAACAGGAGAAGGTGCAGACAATGTTTTTTTCTTTCTTTTTTTTTTGGATTAATTTTTTTTTTTTTTTTCTACTCTATTACAGTTAGACAGAAGTAACCGTCTGGTATGGGTCATTCTTGAATAAAACTGACATTTGTCAACCTTCCCCATTTACTTTAGAGGTGGTCAAGGGAGCCAGTTGTAATCTCATCATCCTCATCAGCATCATCATCGGTATACAGGAGTCAGGTAGTCTGTACTGTAGGTCTCCCAGTTGTCTTCCAAGTAAAAGTTCAATTGTCAGTTTGCAACTTAAGACGTAGTGCAGAATGCATGGATGTCAGGTTACATGAAATTGTGTTAATAGCAAGCCAGTGTTTATCTAGACCAGTCTTAAAAATACCTATGTTCAAGCAGTGACTATAGAGATTCTGGCAGTTTATTCCTGAGCTCGATGACACGTTTACTGAAGAAACAGCCTCTGACATTAAGCTTGCGATGAGTATTAAACAGCATAAATGGATGTCCACGAGTGAATTGGTACTTTGGTCTCTTGATAAAATGTTCTGGACCGAGTCTGTCAATATCATGAAGTATTTTATAAACCTGGACCATATCAGCCCTCTCACACCGGTAGCGAAGTAAGAATAGATTGAGTTTTTTTAAAGTCTTTCTGGATAGGATAATAAACTCATACCAGGAATCATTCTTGTTGCTCTTCGTTTGCACAGCTTCTATCTTGCAGTCATATTCATGATACAGTACAATATTCAACTTCAAGATGTGGGCGTACCAGGGTTGAGTAGAGGTATGAAGATGTCCTGGTGGTAATTGACAAAAGCTCTTTTGTTGATTCCCAACATCTGGTTTGCCTTTTGTATCACAGCTGCTTCAGCTTATATTTTGCGCATGCTCGTTCATCCGATCTCGGCGAATCGCAGTCTGATTTTACTAAATTGGCGGCGACAAGGGCCTTCTTATTGGCTATCGCTGGCTCCCATTCATTCAATGATATAAGATATTAGTACGAGGAGGAAGCTTCTGATTTTCTTTTTCTTTCGATACCAAAATTATGACATTTCAGTCAAACCCTCTATTTGTTAATATGATTTTTTCACTTAAGTATTTCACTTAAGTTTTAGTCTTACGTAACTATTTTAAAAGTTTGATCAATTGTCATTTTCGTCACATTTAAGGAACAAACTGGAAATTTATTCTGAGATGTTTGTTGGTTTTTCTATTTTATGTGTGTGCAATTTCGTGCGTGCGTCAGTTCTGTGTGAAGTGCGTCACCTGTTTAAAGCACGACATGTCAAAATCTCTGTGGTGTGACCTAATATTACGTACCGATATTGACTTTGCTATTGAACTTGAGTTGCGCGTAAGTCAAGTAGGCCCTCTCTCACTTAAATTTGAAGCCATTTCGAGCAGATCGACCAATGAGAATGTGTAAACTCAGTGCAGTCTTCATCATGGTCTTTATACTAAATACTAGAGTAAGACCGCCAAACTTCGGACACTTAAGACATAACGGGGGAAAACATTAAATTCTCTTTTAATTATTGAAAGACCAATTATAGGCCTACTATTATTGTGCAAGTACTGTTTATGTACTGTAGACTATGTCATGTAAAAGAAAATGGAAAACTAGAATTAGGTCTAGTTGAGATTCCCAAATGATCGAAACTTTCAGTCATTTTTCAAGTTAAGATTGAATAAGATTATAAACACTATTCACTAGAATCTAGCAGTACAGTCTACAGAGTAGACTTGCACTTAAGTCTATTTACAGACAGTGTCTCACTCTCAGTCTCAGATTTTCTGTGATGTTTTAATTTAAGACAGTGTGTGTCTCAGATTTTCTGTGATGTTTAAATTTAACCAAGCTTTACTCAATAAAAGGATATTAAGTTAAGAATTCTTAGTAGATTTTTGTTTCAATTAGGCATATAAAAGACATATCGACTGCATTAATATTCGAGGTCTGGCTGCTTTATATAGACTCGGGAAGTAGCAGATCCTGACATGACCCCTACCTAGTCGCGCAGCCCACCCAGGCGCCCCTCAGGCCAGGGTCATGGCAGGATCTGAACGCGTTCCCTTGACAGTCGATACCTCTAGATCTAGACCCTAATATCATCTAAATTATATTACCAAATGCTGATACAATACGTACCTCCAAAAAACTCGAGCTCGAAAATTGGTCTAGCAATAATAAACCATCCGAATGTCAGAATCTACTAGGACCCTTGGAGACGGCACACTCTCTTCCAGGGGCAGAGTATCGGAGAGTGCAGGCGGCGGATCGGATCGAGGACTCGCAAACCGCGCATATATTATGCTAGGTGTAGTGCTTGTTTATCGTTGATTGACCAGGATTGTACTCCGTTCTCAAGATTCCCAAATGCTAGCCTAGCGTACGGTGTTGAATGCGAGATGTGTTTGATACCAGTAAAGAGTTACGTGCAGCTTATCACGTTTTCTTATCTGCGCAGTCAATGAACCACCGTCCTTGCCCTTAGCGAATGCGATCTTTTTTTTCTCGAGTTGACCCATACTCTATGATAATGCGAATAAAAACATATTTGATTTGATAGTTATAGCAGGTACCTCCCTGGTTATAGACGTATCTGACCATACCAAGGAATTCCGGATCTGGCTGTGGCGAAAGGAAGAAGGTTAATTATCTCCATATTTTGGTGAAATTACAGGCTACACCAGGGAGGTTGCGCAGGCGCGTAGCCAGGGGGGGGGGGGGGGGGGGGGGGGGGGGGCGGTGGGGGCGGTCGCCCCCCCCCCCCCCCCCAAAAAAAAACGCCGGCCAAAAAAAAAAAGAGAGAAAGAGAAGAAAAAAAAGAAAGAGGACGTAGGAAGAAAGAGGGAAAAAGAGTCGAGAACGGTACAACGAATCGTCAAAGCTTCCGCGCTTCGCGCGGGAAGGGGGAGACTGAGTTCAAATTAAGGATTAAGAGTCGGGAAAGGTACAACGAATCGCTTTCTTTCTCGAATAATTTAATGAAACGTCAAAGCTTCGCGCGAGAGGGGGGGGGGGGGGGGACAGAATCCAGACAGGGATTAAGAGTCGGGTAAGGTACAACGAATCGTCTTCTTTCTCTAATTATTAAATGAAACGTCAAAGCTTCGCGTGAGAGGGGGGAGGGACTGAATTCAGACGAGGATTATGAGTCGAGAAAGGTAGAACAAATCGTCTTCTTTCAAAGCTTCCGCGCTTTGCGCGGGAGGGGACTGAATATAGATAAGGATTAAGAGTCGGGAAAGGTACAACGAATCGTCTTTCTCTAGTAATATAATGAAACGTCAAAGCTTCGCGCAAGAGGGGGGAGGGACTGAATTCAGACAAGGATTACGAGTCGAGAAAGGTACAACGAATCGTCTTCTTTCCCCCCTCCCTGCACCCACCCCCCTAGGGAGCGCGCTTCGCGCGCCCTTAAAGTGATTCGCACGCTTCGCGTGCTCACTACCGCCCCCCCCCCCCTAAAATGAAATCCTGGCTACGCGCTTGAGGTTGCGGCTACATCTGTTTTATAGGGGTGGATATAAAGAGGGCGTGGTCAATCGCGAAGTGGACGACACCGAAAATAGAGAATTGAATAAAAGCCAAATTGCTATAGGTGTGTCTTGTCCTTCACAAAAATCAATGACAGATTCCTAAATTATACTTAATTAAAATTCTTGAATTGTGTCCTATAGCTATCATGAGGTATGATAATTACAATTATTTTGTTTACCCAGGGAAGCCTCATTAGATTCGATTTAATGTGTTTTTCCTGAGGTCCCTGCAATTATCATCATTATACCCCAGAAATTACCAGGTACCCATGCATTGACACCTGGGTGGAGAATGCAAATGTTGATTAATTTCTTGTCGAAAGTGCCGGACAGAGATTCGAATCCTTCACCCTTGGATTGGGAGTCAAGGAAGTGAACCAATACCAGCACCGTCTTCCACTTGACCGGGGTAAGTGCCTCCTCAGTAGCTAATTTAGAGGCGCTCACGCACTTCCGCCTATCCATATGACGGACTTTCATGTCGTCACGTCACAACCAGATCAGACGCATCGGTAGTATGGGGGGGGGGGGGCGGTCGCCCCGCCCCCCCCCCCCCCAAATGGAAAAAGTGGGGGGAAAAGCATTTTCGCTCTCCTGAATAGCCCACCCCCCCCCCCCCCAAAGAAAAGAAAAAAAGCATTAAAGGAGTAAAAATGGTTATATATTTTTTTAACCAAAAATAAATTAAAATAATAAAACCTGAATTGAATCACGTAAAAATTATATTTCATTCAAAGAAAAGTAGAGTTAACAGGAATCAATTTTCTATAACACTCCGCATGCCCCTATATTTATCAATGGAGGGTTTTATAAAAGCGATACGCGCATATCGTGGAAATATCGTGAGAGGATAGGAAAGCGTGTGTATTTTAGGGGCCAAAAAACATGAGCCCCTGAACAATGGCGTACTGAGTTCTGGTCATGCGATTGCATTGTAAAAGAAACGTTGTGGAATCCCCCCCCCCCTCAAATCAAATTCAAACGTGGTTTACTTCTAATTCGATACCAGTGATTTACAACTCGGGATTTTTTCTCAATTCTTTTTGTAAATTATACTTTAGTATGCGTCTGTTGGAAAAACTACAAGTTCCCAAATTTACAGTTAGGCAAAAAGAAAATGATCATCTGACCGTAATCAAATGCCTAAAACCATTGCCCTAACGGGGGTTCCACCCCTGGACCCCACCAAGGGCCCTAAGGAGGGCCCCTGGATGCTCATCTGTCAGTAATTAAATACCTAAAAATCCCTGAGCTTCCGAAGGGCCCTGCCCACTAGACACCACCTAGGGCCCTAAGACGGGCCCCCTGGATGCTCATCTGACTGTTAATAAATGCCTGTAACCCCCGAGCTTCATGGGGCTCGGCCCCCTTGACCCCCCGCCACTCCGCCAGTGTCACAAAAAAGGTATAAAAATATGCTCATCTGATCGTAATTAAATGCCTAAAACCTCTGAGCTTCCGGGGGCTCTGCCCCCTTGACCCCACCAGGGGCCCTAAGACGGGCCCTTGAATGCTCATCTGACCATAATTAAATGCCTAAAAACGTTGTGCTTCATGGAGCTCATCCCCACTCCATAATATATTCTAATGCTAGGCTTTATATGTATATCTAAAATTGCTGGTTGAGAAATTAAAACGAATTGAATTTGGTATCCAAACTAATATAATATATATTAAATCACTTATACAAATTGTGATACATTATTCTACAGTTCGGGAGGGGGAAAATAGATTTTTCTGTATAGAAAAAAAAAAGGTGACATGGGGCATTTTTTTTAACTTGTAGATTTTATTATTATTATATGAGGGTCTTGTATCAGTGGAGGTCTGTAACTACACTGTTGTTATTAAAAAGAACATTAAAAAATGCAAACAGAATTAATAGATAACTGCCAGGATCGATAAGAAAGTGAAGGACTGAGCAGGAATCTAATATATAATGAGATTCACTGTAAAATTTTCCCATTTTTTTTTATAATGTATTGGCAATTTGTCCTTTATTTCTGCTTTTTCATATTTACCTTTTTTGAGATCTCTACAGCCTTACATATTTCTTTGCTTATTTACATATTTACGATTACTATATATCATATATTTGACTAAAATCAATACATGATTAAACAATTATGTTATCATTCATAATATTTTCTCTGAAACCGAGTAAAACATTAATCCATTGCAAAATTGAAATAAATTATAGCGCCATCTGTTGTCGAGTCCCTGTAGTTACTTTCAGATACTGATCAACGGGTCAACATTATAAGAGCCCTATACTTTTCTGAATATTTGTCACATCACAATACAGGCATACGAGGTGGGGGAGGTGGTATGGGCTGCAGCCCCCTATTTTTTTTCTTTTTAATATCAGCGTTACATGTACATCTTTACAACGTAAACTTTGAGTCTATCTCAGTCTATGATACAAATTCAAATTCAAACTTTATTGATTTGAATCCAAACAGATAGGCCCTCCCCCCCCCCCTCCCCCCCCCCCACCCACTCCGTGATCGGAGGGATACCATGCGTGTTACCAAAATGTCCGGTAAAGGGGTACTTTTCACCCACCAAAGTCCGGCTCGTAGTCAGCCTCGTAGTACACAAAAGCCCATTTTACACACTGGACTTGAGGGGTGTTTTCAAAAGGAGGGAGCATGCATAATTATGCGTACCCTAAATAACACTGAGTGGGGGGGGGGGGGGGCAGATAGGATCATTCTCAATTTTCATACATCGGATAACAAATTCTCAATGAACCTCGAGTACTTCTTTTAAAACTGGTTGGCTCTGCTTTTTATGCAAAACTCAATTCGAGCAAACATTGCTGTGGTTATAAAATAACCCTTTGTTAATGACTAAACACACCCCCTCCAACTAGCTCCAAACTTCTTGCATTAAAGAGATAAATTTTGGAAAAGCTGTCATCAAAATAATAATACATTTCACTTTCAAAATATTTGATCATAATTATTGGAACCCGTGAAAGACGTTAGATGGGAAGGAGTGAACGGATAGGCCCGGTAGATCTTGTTCTTCCACTAGCCCCCCCCCCCCCCCCCCCACACACACTTTGAAATTCCAATGACTATTATGCATACAAGGATGAGGTCCAGAATTGTGACTCCACCACCCCCTCCTCCTTTGCAGGCACGTAGCCACGGGGGGGGGGGCACGTGCCCCCCAAATTGTCCAAGATTGGTTGAAATTTTTTAGACCCCTCCCCAGGACGTCGATCGATAACATTTGTACATTAAACTCTGGCTACGAGTCTGCTCCTTTGAGGTCATAAAGTTTCTCTTTTAGCTCACTTCTTTGTTTGCTTGCCTTGTCTGAGATTTATTCAGGGCGACCTTGAACTTATGATGACCTTTGTCAAATCGTTTCATATCAAAAGAGGCATTCAAAGAATACTCTTGGCACGTTTTATTTCAGAAAGTGGAGGGAATTGTTGATGGTAAATGTTTGATTGAATGAGACATTTGGTGTGATTATAACTATGGACAGAGCAGGGACAAAACTTAGGGGGGGGGGGGGGCTAATAATTTATTTCGGGGGAGGATGGCCATAAACCGCATTTAGGACACTGACATATGAGGTTGGAGAGGGGCGGCCTTTAGAGAAACACATAATAAGGATAAAAGATATGTCTTCAGTATAGTATCCAGCGGTTCTCTCTCCCCCTCTCTCTCTCTCTCTCTCTCTCTCTCTCTCTCTCTCTCTCTCTCTCCCTCCCTCTCTCTCCCCCTCTCTCTCTCCCTCGATCTCTCTCCCTCACTCCTATTTCTTCTCGATGGCTACTGAGCCGTGAGAGGGATAGTGAATTTATACTCATGTTCTCGAGGGAGGAAAAGGTCCGGGGTTGAGAAATGCCCCCTTCTGGAATTCCTGTATCCTCCCCAAAAGATGCATACGGGCTGCATACATGTACGGCTAATAATGTCTAATCTAATCCTGTATTCGGAGAAAATTGTATATAGGAGCGCATGTCACTATGAACACGACGGACAAAGAAAGAGGACAAAATATACAGTTCCTCAGATAGACAAAGGAACATCCCTTCACTGCTATTATGTACAAATGTGTAGAACAGGTGAATATGCATGTGACACCTGTTCCACACATTTTTACATAAAAGCAGTGAAGGGATGTTCCTTTATCTACCTGAGGAACTGTATATTTTGTCCTCTTTCTTTGTCCGTCATATTCATAGTGTGTACACACATTTAGAAAAAATACTGTTCACAATGCGTTTGCATATAGGACCCCCCCCCTTGACGGATGGGGTGAGGGGTGGGGTGCCAAGTCGTAGATTGGATTTTCGCCAAGGGGCCGGGAGATATCGCCAGGGCAAATCTTCCCTCTCCCCTTTAAAAAAGAAGAAGCAAGTAATAGTAAAGCAACACTAACTTAAATGCTCTAGAATACAAAGATCGCTATATGCCGAATCCCTCGCTTATATCCAGTCCTATAGGCCTTCAAAGCTGCCTCTGTAGGTGAAGGGGGCGGGGGGGGGGTGGGGTGCCTGTACTATATTGTGTTTAAAAAACCTACACTGAATGCAAATTTTATAATAGCGATTACCAACAGCAATGTCGGCGATGTAAGCAGATGCAGATGGGGGGGGGCGGCCGGCTTTGAAAACGAAGAAGCCCCCCCCCCAAAAAAAAAAAAAAAAAAAAAAAAAAAAAATTATAGAAAATCGTCCAAATTACCGTATAAAAATAATCATTTAACGCTTCCTAATGCCAATAGCAGAAATAGGGAAGGTGTGGATATGAACTTTGATTAGCCTGAGACTGTTGGTAAGCGCTTTATAAGCACCGTTTTTATTATTATTTATTATTAAAAATGCTCTTAAATTCTAAGATCCCCACAACGGCCGTAGGCCTAATGCTGAATGTTCGGGGTTTTTACCGAATAAGGAATACATTTTTTTCTTTCAATTTTGAAGCGTGTAAAGCCTGCTTCATATAGGTGGGGCCCTGGTTGGCGGGATTATCACCCTCACAGACCATTCCTGCTCAGGCTCGGTCGATATGCTTCCTTCAGAAGTTCAGAAAATACCCCTCGATCCTCACCCCCTCCCCCCACCCCACCCCCCCCCCCCCCCCGATCAGGATAAGACATCACCGCGCCCCTAGATGTAATAGGTCCCACTTACACAAACAGACAACACAAACAATAATATTGGACATCATAATGGGTAACCCTTCTTCAGAAAAAAAAATCCATATACCTGATTGCGTAGCTAGGGCCTATATATACCTGCCTATTTGTTGTGGGAAAAAAAATTGCATCATGCATTTAGATCTATTTATCTCAAACGGTACTACAACAATCTAGTGTTTACGCAGAACCGGTTTCCGATGGTATGTTCTATGCGAAGTGCCCCTTTGTTATTTTCTGGCCCATAACATTTGTTTTGAAACGTGAAAGACGGAGGATGGAAAATTCTTTTGTGATGAGGAGAATTTCAGCTGCAACTGGTACGGCAAATGCGCCATGGTAACACAAATATCGATTTGCGCATGACGTTTTGGGTAGTTGACCTATCATAACACGAGCTCGCTCTCACAAGGTTTATTGCGCAACACAAATGGGAGATTCCATCGATGGTCGTCTCCTGAAATCTTACGGAAATATTACACGAAATTTTCCGTTGAAATGGGGTTTACCATCCAGAATTCGTATAGATATGTGGAGAGATAGTAACACAGGACTACTGTGATCCGTAAGTATAACTTTGAATTTTGTACAGGGATCCTGAAATTAGGCTGTGGAGGCAATTTTGTCTTCTAAGACGGTTAGTATTTACTTATGACGAGATGGAAACGACGGACGATTGATGACACATCGACCAGCTGATTGTCCATGCAAGTCGACTGTATTGAAAATGTACGGTACGGTATGCTTTGTCTGTCTGCTGTGTGTTCCAGGCTAAGTTACTGTGCTGTGCAATGGAAAAAATGATGCACAGCCAAGCCAGACTCGTTGACATGTTCAGCAGCTGTTTTACGTTGTGTTTACATTTACATCTCAAAGATCAAACTTCATTTCTAAAATGATACTCTGTGATTTAACATGCATGCACTTCTGATAGAGTCTAAGAGAACATAAAGAAGAATTTATTTACAACCACCCACCACTCAGATGTCTCATCGATCATCGATCATGATCATTTCACTTCTCGATCTGAATCTCAGCTCACCTGTCATTTACTATTCAAATTTTACAGTCACTAACACTCATGACAGTGTTAGTAACACTTGAATTTGAATTGAACATGTTGAAATGTCATTCTTTCGATCTGATTGATCCGAGTTCCAAAGCTAAGTAAGGACTTAAGGTAATGAACTTTGAATAACTAACACCCTTCTGGCTTTCAAATAGATAATATAGTAGGGTGTCTGATCGCGCACCCAATGTTGTGTGCTAAAACCCTTCCCATAGAGATTGTACGCTTCCCTATGTGGTCTACGTGCATTGCGCGACCATCCAAAATTGGTCAATGATTTTATGAAAAAATTTGAAATTCAAACCTTTATAACAAATGATCCTGAAGGTGAAACTCAATAAATGAGGTGTCATATGAAAGAGCAGGTTTTTCTCCATATTCCCCATCGGGGGCCACCCCCAATTCTAAAAATATCTTGGTCAAAATAGCGATTGAAATGTTGTTTGCATCCTAGCTCCAAAATGTGCCACTTTCCTGAGCTGCCGCCCCGCGGCTTAAGCAGGGCTAGACGTAAGGATAATATCCAGATGCTTTTTTTTTGCTAGCCCCAAGGGATCATTTGTTATAACAGTTTGAAAATACCCTCCCACATTTTTGGAATCAGCTAATTAGGGAGGCGTGAGCTCCGCTCAGTCCAAACCATGGTTACATCGCGTAACATGTGCGCTTATAGTGAATGAAAGTATGAATGGCCGTTCCCACTATAAACCCCGGAAGTGAATACACGTTGTAGTCAATGGCAATATCGCGGAGACATCTCCGCGATATTGCCATTGACTATAACGTGCATTCACTTCCGGGTTTTTTGTGCGACGAACGCTAACCATACTAGTCAATGGCACGTGTCGCGGAGACAGCGTAGCTCAAGCTTGCAAGTCGCGCATTGGCTGAGCAACTTGCGTACGATATGCATACGCTTGCATATCGCGCGATACAGCTGTTTGGCTAAATTTAGCAAAACAACATAACTCTGCGTGTACGTCTTTTTCGTCGATTCTGAGCAAAATGCTATGAATATTTCAGCGTTTTGAAGGGGCTGTATCTTTTGATAGAAACATCGGCGAGACTTGAAATTTGAAATGTATTATTCTGATTACATTTTTAATTCAAATATCAAACAAAAATGGTGAAAAACGATCCTAAATTGAAAATTGAAAAATCGTTCAGACACCCTAAATATAGTACAATTAGGGATGATGTTACTTTGTATTTAAATAAGTCTATCTATGGTGCAAGTAAGTATGTTTAGATGCTCTAAATTTACATGTTTCTAGGTCATTATGTATATGTCATGCTGGCTTGAATTTCTACGAGTACAAGTCTCAAACCTTGGAGACTTCCGCCTTGCCTGTTCATCTTAAAATCACTCCCTCTCCCTCCCTCCTGAGCTGATCAGGGGTTTCCTTCCCCTCTTCACGTGCTTGCCAAGGAGAGGAGAGGTGTGGGAGAGGAGGGAATGGATGAGGAGAGAGAGGGAGAGAAGGGGTGTGGGGGTAATGAGAGAGGAGAGAGAGAGCAGGGGAGGACAGAAAGGAAGGAATGGAGAGGGAGGAGGCTGGGGATGGGGAGGGGGGGGGGGGGGGAATAAAACATAAGTTGAAAGTGTGCTAAGGAAAATAAATCACACCATAAGTTAACCTTGACCAACCCTGTACATGTACATTATCTTTAAGTTTGACTAAATAATAAATATCATTGATTACTACAGTATGTACTGTACATGTGCAGTTGTGCATGCCTTTTGTCTTGGAAGACGAACAACAAGTTTGGCACTATATTACACTATACATGTACATGTACATGTACATGTACATACCCTATATTTATGAAGTGACACACCATGAAGACATGAAAGGCACATGTGTAAAACTGGATCAAATATTGTTTGTTTCTTTTTGGCAGTAGATGTGTACAACTACAAGAAAAGGAAGTCTCCTATTTAAAGCAATTCCGTATATTTATAGTCAATTGTTCGCAACATCTGACCGACCTGTTCATGGGGTCGTTAGCTACAGTTTGATACCATTGTTTTTTTTTTCCTCTCATTTTCTTCTCATTTTCACTTTGAAGTGTAAACAATTTATCGTGTTCCTAGCAGAAAGGTGTCTAACATTTTTGTCAATGTTTTTAACTACTAAGACTGATAAGGTTTTTTGGCTGAAAAAAACAGATACATGTCTGCATTATGAAACCCTTGCTACTTGCAAACGGTGGCCTTTTATGTTGTGTCATATTGCAGCTGTGACTCAATTATCATGCGGCATGAAACTTTCGTGAATTGAACCCCTTGCAAAATTTTGCAATATCTGCGCAGTCCTTCTGCTTGGCACTAGGTACTTGCATGGTACTTGGCAAATACTGAATTTAATTTGAAATAACTAGCATGTTTTTTTTCTGATTACATAATCATCCTATAATTTAATGAAACATGAGGGTACAATGATACGATCAGATAGTTAGTTTCACATTGACCCTGTTTGGTAGTGATTATGAAAGAGCTGTTGAGAGGCCCTTATAGTGGGATTATAGACCAATAGAGGAAATATTCAATTGATAGACTTTCCTAATTCCTTTATAGGTCCCTGGAATCCCAGGGGGAAGCTGTATGATTATCATGGTGGTTTGTGGCCACCATGCAGGCCTACATGTACGTTATTGTATTGTATCGTTATATGTACATGTACATGTACATGTACATGTATAAGGCCTCATTCTCACCAGAGGAAACTCTGCACAAAGAAATATTGTACAATGATAGTCATGCAGGAACAATTACTTCACTCAACCTGTATAGTGGAAGGGACTGATACCATAGACACACCGATGAGACGGACACCTGAACCAAACTATTACATTTCCCCCAAAAGGCCAAGAATTTTAGAACTCACAAAATACAAGCGTGACTTCTTCTGTGTGTTTTGAACAGGCTGAATTGCCTGCAACGCGAATTTAAGAACCCGCAAATATGTTTTGGGGTCGCTCAGCGCAAAAAAATTAACGTTTACAGTAGGTATGCATTATGCATGTACATGTGTACAATGAGTCCTGAGATGTTTAAAACTTATATTCATATCAAGGAGGTATTCGAGTACACTCCCAGGCTTACAGGCGAATACTCGGACGCCATGTTTAAAAAAAAAAATTAAATTTTTTTTTTTTGCCACCACCATACCACGGGAGCAGTATCCCACGTCCGTCTAAAAAAACTCACACGATTTTACTTTGAGTTGCAGTTGAACTTGAAGGCGCCAATTTTATAAATTAAAATAATAGTAAACAATGCTGTTTTTAAAACCAAAGATGACAGACTAGTCCATTTTCCTCCAAGTCCAAACAGAAATCGAGACATTTGGTCCCAGTTTCTGAGTGGTGAGTTGACAGTGATTGAGCTGGGAAACATTTTTACCCATGGTACCATCCCGGCAGCCGGCGCTCTCCCTGGCACGGGTAAGCGTAGACCTGGACAGTGCCAGTTGTCAACAGTGTGAGTACTCAAGTATTTGAGTACTCGTCGCAGCCTTATTATGTATTACGTTGTAAAAAAACAAAAGAACAACACTGGGAATGTACATGTACAGATATTTTTACAAATATATAACAAACAAATATTGCAAATTTACACATGACAAAAGAATATATGTAGAATAAAGTAAGGCTGGGTGTAACTAATCGAGAACATCAAACAGGAGGGTTGACAAACATACATACATAACATACATAACATGTACATTGTAACTGCAGTGTAGGCCGACATGGGCATGTTCAAACACCGCACATGTACTTGTATGCAATTTGTTGTCTGCACTTTAGATACAGTACACATCAATGTTGCACAGAATAACAATTCATCAGTTTGGGGAGGGTGAAACTGAAAGAGAGAAAGAGAGCTAAAGAGAGCTAGAGAGAGAGATCTCAGCATTGCACATCAATCAAAAGAATTTGTCAATTATTGTTGGAGACAGTTGTATTGTTATAGACAGCTGCATTGTTATTGCAGTCTTCACAGATGTGACTATTTATAACCCAATAAGCCTGTCTTCACTAGCTTGAGATTGCCAAATATCCTGCTATTTGAACTATCCCGATCGCAAACTATCCAGCTAATATGCGTGTTCATCAGCCCGAGGTTGCAATTAGCGGGATATTGGGTCGGGATTGTCATCCCAAGATATCTTGGGATAGTTTGCAAAATATCCCACTATTTGGCAAAATATCAGGCAATTTGTCCAGTGCGTCTTCACCAGACCGAAGACTCTGATTTCTCAAGGTCGAATTTAAAGTTTCGAGGTCGAATCTCGAGCTGATGAAGACGCGCCTAGGCTAATGATTCTCAGTAAGCCCTCTATAGCCTAGGCCTGCAATGTAATTTACATGGAAAACTTGATTATGCTCTGACCTTTTGTTCCAATCCCTACCATTGAATAGTACAGGCAATACATGTACATACATGCACATACTGTACATACAGGGTGTATGGTGTTGAATAATAGGAAGCACAACGTCATGCAGCTAATGTCTTCCGTTGTGTAATAATAGCAGGAACAGATCCAAGAATTTGGAAGAAGAACAAAAAGAAGATATAAAAAACACATTATTTGAAGCTCTTTTTTTTGGGGGGGGGGGGAACAGAGCTACCAAGTGTCACGCATTATGCGTGATGTCACGCATTTCGAGGGTCTGAAAACGCTCTCACGCACGACACGCACGTGCAATTTTGAAAAAACGCTAGACATGTACGTGTGTTATACCCTCGCCCTCGCATGCCGAGTCATGAAAATGTTATGCATAGCTGAACTTGGCGTCTCTGGGGGAAGGGGGAGGAGGCTATTTACTTCCGAAAAGTCATGTGACATAATGCAAAAAAAAGAGAAGAAAAGTGCCTTAAAGAAGGGGGAGGGGCAGCCTCAGAGTTGGAGTTTCTTGAGTAACCTTGTTTTTTTAACAGCGTTTTGATTTGTGAGTCATGTTTGTGATTCTAGCTTCAAAAAATTGCTTGAACGCACCCTAAATAATCATAGAGTAAAGAATTGAAGTAAAGTTTTTCAACATTAACTTTCTGCCCAGAATGAGCCCAGATTTTAATACATGTACTGTACACTGTAGTCTTGTCTTGCCTCTCTTATACAAGAAATAAGTAGCAGGGGTCTGCCGCAACACAATAATGATTGAAAATACTAAAGAATGGCCTATTGCATGTTCAGTGTTCTTGCTTTCCAAAAATCCAAAGAAACTTTTTCAGTGCTTGACATGCATGCCCCATTACATGTCTATAGATGCTGTGCTCCATGTCCATTTGTGATGTATGTACACTGTATACCATGCAATATGCACTTGCAGTAAAATACACTAGACGTCAAAACAGTTGTTCTTCATTCCTAACGGTAGTGTCATGGGAGGTTATTTTGGTATCACGTTGGCGGCTTTGGCCTGAGCTTTGTTTTGCCTTGAGATCTTATTTCTGTACTGTAGCTAGAATTAAATAGTCTACTGCACATGTAGTACTTACGCCGACAAATCGGTGCCATTAACTTCACCTCGTATCAAAATGAAAGTCGCTTTGGTTTTATAATGTACTACAGTGTAAAAAATCAGAAATATATCATTTTAGTATGTTTTTCTTTCTTTTTTCATTAAAAAGATGAAAAAAAAGGAGGCAGCCCCCCAAAAGGAATCGGGCGGGGATGCTAAACATGATTTTATTTTTAAATGGTCTATGTACACTAGCTGTAAGCATCATGTAAAATGTTTAGTGTAATAACAAGCACAAAAAATGATGTAAGAACTGATTCTTAATAACATATACCTACAGTGTACACATACATGTACATGTACAATACGTTTGATATTTCAACAAGTACATGTACAGGTACATGTACATGATGACTCAAAATATTTTTTATTAAATAATTTCCAGGAAATATTTATAAAGGCTGCATGTTAACTTTGTCCCCCTTTCTTTTCTTCCTTTTTCCTTTTTGGTTTGATTTTGATTCATAACCTCTAAATGTGGGTGTCTACGTGCAGCTGGGCTCATAGATCTAAACCACATGATCACAAACACACCCTTGTATATCGACTATCTCAGGATTTACTTGCAGGTCATGTGACCTGTTGAGCATGAGTGATTCCAAGTATACATACACGTACAGAGTTGAATTGAAGATACTGCATGTATGCACATGTGGGATCCTGAATGTATACATGAGACTGTTTGGATAAGTATTGGACAATTGTATGTAAATAATTTTTTTTTTTATAAAGATGATTATACATGTACTCAAGGTATTTCAGTAAATACATGTCCATGTACCGTAGGTCAACTGTAAAGTAACAGAGCATGACATAATCCTTCTTTCCTTTTCTCTTTTTTTGTTGTTGAATAGACCCAACGCATTGAAAAAGGAGATGAAGATGAGTGTCTTTGTGTTCACCACGAAGGTCTATGAGTAGACGCTTCGTAACGTGCCTTCTGCTGTCTGCTGGCCTCTAAAGTTTGCCTTCATCAACAATTGACAGATCTGAGCAAATCGCTCTGCTCTTGGAACATAACATTGTTAAAATCCATTGGTGCTAAAAAGAAACCACAACTAAAAAGCAGGACGACCGTTTGCAATTCATATCTGCGTCATTTTAACCTGGAGACTGTGCCTCTGCTACCCTTTAGAGACTTATATTGACCATGGATTGCTTTGTGGATGAATCTGTAACTAAGTTGAGGGGCGTGGTCAAAGATACAGGGGAGGGGTATGAGATGACCCTGCCCATCGAATGTCGATTGACCCAGACGGGAGGGGAGGTGGAAACACTTTTGTCGACGGTCCTTAAATCTCAGAGGGAAAGCCAGCATGATGAGGGTAAGATTGATGGTTCTTTCTTTCTTTCTTTCTTTTTTTTCTTCTTTTTTTTCTTTATTTTTTTAAACAATATTTATTCATTTATCTATTCCATGCTTTCTTTCATTCATTCAATTGTTCAATTTCATTTGTGTTTACAAATAATAATCTTGGGGCAATCCTAGACTAGAGGGAATATATTATATATTTTATGATATAAGAATTAAATGCTCACATCAATGGGGGAGATCTCTACATTCTGAAAAGCAAAGGGATAACAGATTTAATACATACATGTACATTACATGTAAACTTAAAGGATTGTTGTTGTTTTATGTTTGTTTACATTGGAATAACAATTTTGTGTAGCAGATGAAAGAGGAAGTGCTCTACTGATGGAAAGAGCAAAGCTTGTAAGTGCTGAACATTCAACATTGCTCAAACTTTAGTTTTAATAGATAAAGCAACTTCAAACTTGGATTGAGTACATGTACATGCTACCTGTAATGGAACAAGTAACTGTATAATGTACACAAATAGGCCTGACAGTGATACTCTATTATTGACAGTTATATAACCACATCACTATTCATGCTACCCCCCCCCCCCCCCCCTCCTCACTCTACCTCTATAATCTGGAAGGTAAACAACTATTGTGTATTCAATGTCTGGATTATATTTGCTACAAAACCCTGGCTAGGTATTTGTCTAGGAAGGGGATTAACTTGGATCATTCAAAGTCTTGAATCCATACAGGAAGACAATGACCTGATAAATAGGGCACAGATGACTGTAGGAATCCCTGATGCTGATTATATAGGATTAGGAATTGAACCACAAGGATTTGCAATAGGTATTGCCTGTCAAAAACAGTTAAAGGGAAAACACCTTGTAATTGCAGTTTTACAGTATGATCTCTCTCTCTCTCTCCCACTCACGTACAGTGTATGTACATGTACATGTACATGTAGTACATTGTATGTCCAAAGTTTCTCCTTCTACTTTCATTTCTCTCTCTTTTTCTCCTCACTCTTTCACCGCTTAACCTTTTGGTACTTTCTTCTCTCTTTCCTTATCATATGCTCATCTCTGTCCCACCCATGTTTGATTAATGTGAGAAACAGGAATATTTCCGCAGAAAAAAAAGCCAAAATATCAAATTCTAACATCAGCTTTTATTAAATACATACATCTATGTAGCTTAGGTTTAGAGATGGTTAGTAAATAGTAATACTAGCTCTTACCCTATATTTATTAAAACTGAACTACACTATCCTTACTGTAAAGGTAGAAATATTAGCGGTACATTAGTTTTCACGGATTTCGCGCAAAGATCGGCTTAAACTGGCATGCAATGAAAATTTTAAGAATCAGCTAATATGTTTTGGGGCCGCTCAGCGCGAAAATAACGGCGTTAACAGTATATATGTAGCATTGGAGCCGGAGTTCTTTGATGATCAAACCAAAAGTCAACCATGGAGCAATTCTCACCAGAGCATACATTTTAATACTAACATGTATGTCTTACCATCATACATCTCCCTTTCAGGTTGTTGTAAAAATTCTCTGTCAACACCACTAGTACTGTACGTAAAACTAGCAAACCCGAGATGAGAATGAATGCATATATGTTTGGAGCCAGAAGGATTTGTTGTACTGTTAGACAGAGTTAATGCCCTTTTGTCTCTGAAAAGACAAAGCTACATGTACAGGTGTAAGGCCAAATAAAATTTTTTTAAAACATGTTAGCGTCCTGCCTTTTTGAAAAATACGAAGGAGGCCCTTTTTTTTCTTCAAAATGGCCGCTCTGTACATTTTCCCTGACAGTCAGGCTATTTTTAAGATGGCCGCCAGAATTATAAAAAAAAATCAGAAATATATCCATTTTAGCAGTGTTTTTCATGTTTGTTTTTTCTTTAACATTTTTTTTTTTAACAGGAAGCGGGTGGGGACGCTAAACATGTATATTTTTTTTAATGGCCTAAGTTTGATCTAGTTATTTTTTCTGAACAACATGTTTGGGAAAATCTTAAGGTTGGTTCCAATTAACACCGTTGTGTTGTGTCTTCGTTGCCCAATACAGATGGTGAATCGGATGCAGTTGCTAAGCAGCAGGCTGCAGTAGATGAGGTCCTCTACCATGCTATGGTACGTCTGGATACAGAACTGAACAAGAAGGAGAAAGACAGCCCAGAGGAAACAGAGATTGAGGTCAGTTCTATAGCATGTACACACACGTACATGTAGATGTATCCGAAAACATCCTGTGAAAGCAAATTTTCAATTTGTACATGTGTATGCTTGTTCCTTCCTTTCCTTCCTACATTTTATCATTTTTTCAGTATCAGTTCCTCCTCCTTTGATAATTGTTGTTCACCATTTTTCCCCTCTTTTTTTTTTTTTTCTCCTTTTTTTTTCTTCTTTCTTGTCCTTCTTCTCTCTACCTTCTTTTTTTGTCTATTTGTTTTTAATTGATTACAGGTATTTATTATACATTTGGTTTTCTATGACTTGAATTGATATGAAAACCAGTTTAAGCCAATATTACAATGTTAAAGAGAAGGTTGAGTTCTGGGAAGAGGTGAAAAATAATTTTTTAGCGTTATCATTCTTATTATGCAAGTGTGGAAGAACATCAGATGAGACATGTTCCCTGAAAAGCATGGCTCTTCAAATGCCTTCATATTCTAAATATGTCATGTAACATCGTAAAACTTGGGGGTAGGATTTTTACGCCACGTGTTCGTGTAGTCCCATATACATCTTTTTGTGTACAGTTTTTGTAACTTTACCAAGACTTGGCCGAATTTCTTATCATGTTGATGATTCCAGAACCTTGCAATACACACAAATTCTTATATGCTAGATGATCAACCTTTTCTGGTCGATTCCACATCGTTTCTTTCACAATGCAATCGCATGACCAGAACTCAACTTCATCTTTAACTGTATCTCTGTATACATTCCTGGAATAAACAAAAAACAGCTAATGTTTAGAAATTGATATTAACTTGAGACCTTCAGAGGTGTAGCGAAGGGGTGCTACCGATGTTGGTCTATTCCCTAAAAAATATTAGAGCATCAAATTTCAGTCCGGGATCAGAACCTTGTGTGGGTGGAAAATTGGTCTTAAAGTTAAAGGCCAGCTTTGTTCTTAGTCATGCCCCCAAATCACTTTCACTTTGATTATTTCTTTTGTCTTTTGCATTGAATTGATTGAAATAATAAACCTCGGGGAATTTTTTACTTTACCCTGGAAAATGATGACAAATGGAATGATCTTGAAGGAACACGGAATGCCTGATAAAAAGAGAACAGTTATTTCACAAGATTGAAGTTAAACTTGAGTTCTGGTAAAAAAAAAGAAAATGAATTCTCCCAGAATCAAACAAAACTTACGCTGAATGTTCAAGAGTACGATTAAATGTCATTTGCCAAACATCTTATTATAATTTGAAGAAAAAGAAAGAAGAAATAGAATGAAGGGAAAAAAAACACCAATGAGAACTCAGAACTACAAATATCAAATTAATAGAACATTTATAATTTACTATTATTTACATTTACATGAACAACATGTCCAGTTTATATTCCTAACTACAGGTGTATATGACAGTTTAATACATGTTTTTGGTGTTGTTGGTCTGTGTTTGTTAAAAGAATGGGAAGTATGGATCAAATAGTAGCTGCGCAATAAGGATCTCTGTAGACTGCACCTACACTGTACAAATGTATGTATCTGTGTGTAATATAAGACACACAAAATGAGAAGCAAAAGATGATTTGACCAAAAAAATGAGCCTGTTATGTTTTGTCATTTGTGCATGTACATCATTACATTCATTCCAAATTAAGAAATAGATTTGACAGATTAGGTTGTTGTCCAGTTATAGCGGTCAACAAATATTGAATTTCTATCCGTGCCTTTAAGAATATCTCTCCAGCCACTTTATCTGACAGCTGATGTGACATTGTTAGGTTAGAATAAATTGAATTACAGGTAGAGTCACAGATTGTATGTAGGTCGGGTTGTCTTGGGGCTTCGACTTGTGACATTGATGTCTTGAATTATAGGATGAAAATAGGATAGAAGATGAGAATATGATACTGTCTTTCCTCCTTTTAGTTCACTTCAATTCACATTATTCAATTCAATACCATCTTTTAATTTGTCTACATTAATTTATTAAATGAAAAAAAGACAGTGATTAAAAATTTCATGTTAGTACCGGTAAGAGCAAAATTGGAATGACATACCGGTAGACAGGTGATGATAATGATGATAATGATGATAAAAACATTTAACAGCAACATTATTATTATTGATAATACTCTTCCTGATGACCGCGGGCCCTCAATCATAATTTCTACTTGAGTGGCAGAAGATATTTTCCATTCTTTGATTTATTTTACATTAAAGAAAGAAAGTGCTTTATCAAGACAACTTTCCAAACGATAAAGTGACAGATGGTTGAAAACAAAGATTAAGTATAAAAGCATATTAAAATTTAGGAGTTTCGCCTAGGCTAGTAGTGACTTTACATATCTCTCGCCATTGGCTATTGTTATTCTCAGTGTCTTACAAGTCTTACTGTCTCGAACTATCAATAATCCAGTTAATGATTTCTTGATATCCTTGGCACACAGGACATTCTTGCTGGTGTGTTTTTGTACCTTACTCATCATAGAAATGATGTGTTATGATGGCATGTAGTCATGTACATGTAAATGTACATGTACTGCTGGGGAGTCCTAAAAATAGGCCTTAATTGGGAGACTTACAAGGCTACATTTTACAGTATGTTATTAGTAAAGGACAATATTACTCATAATCCCTGTGTGTTTTCAGTGACTTTGAGTTTTGAGTTTATTGATTTCACATTTCACATGTACAGGGGTTTGTAGATACAATACAGATAAGAAAAATATACATACGGTAAAAGATATTGTTTCATAATACTTTGTACATGTAGTGTGTAACCTTTAAATAGTTGTAGACCTATGTAATGGGAGAGAGCATTGTAGTTCCTGTGCCATATTGTTTTCCTGTTTAAATACAGTCTTTATAATACAATTAATTTCTTCTTTGTCATTGGTCTTTTTCTTTTTAAAGTAAAAAAAAAAAAAAAATCACATTTAAACATTCATGTATTGTACATGTACAACCTGTACATACACATTTGAATGAAATGATCAATATCCTTTTTTTGGCAGTTGAATAAACCAATGATTCGGACACGTCTCCTGTGCCTTCTACCCTACATGTACATGTACCCCTTCCACTCACTTCTCTTTCTGTTTCCTTCTCTTCTTTTTCCCCTTCATCTCTCCCAGGTCAATCTCCTGGCCCGTTTGGAACAAGTTCTGGAGTACTGTTCCCATCGCCTTGGCAACAAGATCATCTCACTAGAAGTTCTACTTCTCCTTTCAGTGGTCCTAGACCCTAACGCAAGGTGAGTTAATGCAAGCTTTCTGCCTCATTTCATGATAATCAACATTTTCTCTGGCAACAATTGCTCTTGGTCTTTAATATTTTGTAGAAGATAGAGATTACATATACTCTTTTCACACTGGTTTTGCTTAACCCCGTACTTAGCTTAGCCCCGTACTATCCTTAACCCTGGACTATTGTTTTTGGCTTTTCACACAAGCTGTTTTTAATCACGTACTAGCGCCTATTCCGGAATAAGAAAATTCACGCCGTTCTCACTGCAATTCGTTAACCCCGGATATCGTGAATGTTATGATTGGACATACTTCGCATCTGGCCAGCTGCGATACGCTCCATTGCGTAGTACTGGACTATTTTTTGTTTCTGTTCTCATTCATTTGCTTGGCACCGCAATTGCGGGGTTAGCAGTAGTTAGCACCACAATTGCGGGGTTAGCCCTGCTATTTTGCAGGGTTAGTTAACTTTAGCCCACTTTGGTAAAAGCCAGTCTGAACAGAAAGTGGAATAGGCTTAAAACCCTATACTATAGGTGGGGCTAAGACCCCCCCCCCCCTTAACCCCACCTATAGTACGGGGTTAAGCAAAATATTGCCAGTGTGAAAACAGTATAATATTTTGTAGAAAAAGAGGTTACTTACTGTAGGGGTTTATAGGGTGCTGCAATTAGGGTTGGTTTAAGGGTTTGAGTTTGGGTTGCAATAGGGTTTAGATTAGGATTATGGTCAAGGCTGGGGTTGCAATTGGGGTTCATTTTACATACTGTATGTAGGTTTAGTGTTAGCCTTTGGGTTGCAATACAGGTAAGGTATTAAGATTACGTTTAGAGTCAGGGTTACGTGGAGTGTTTAATCTAGGGCTGAAAAGAAAGTATAGATTGTTTGTAGTATAGGATATTGAGTTATTGACCTCGGAGCAATGGTAGCCATAAGATACATGTACAGTAGGGCTGCGACGTGTAGTCGAATGCTTGAGTACCCGCACGGTTGACAACTACTCGGGTACGATTTCTCGTACCCGAATATTCGGCCGCAAAAAAAAAAAAAAATCTGTCCAGGCCGACGCTTACCCGTGCCTGGGTGAGCGGCGGCTGCTGGCATGGTGCCGTTGGTAAAAATGTTTCCCAACTCGAGCACTGTCAAACTCACCACTCAGAACCTGGGACACCATGTTTTTTTATAATTTTTTTGAATTTTTTTGAATTTTTTAGATTTGTTTTTTTGTTTTTTTGTTGCCAACACCATACATACTGCCCAGTATAATATGCTAAATTACACTCAGTACATTAAAAATATAATAACATAATGTAATAAGAAAATAAAATAAGAACAGTAAAACATAATACAATATTATAAATATGTTAAATTACACTCAGTACATTAAAAATATAATAACATTAAGAAAATAAAATAAGAAAAAGTAACAACAATGATAAAAGGTATGATAAGATTACTGAATATAGAAGCTTGTGTAGGTGCTATCTTATATACATATTTATGTATGGTGTGTATGTGATATAACAAATAATCTGCACGTACTGTTAAGAAACACTAACAAAGCCCATGAATGTTTTGCTTACGATATTATTTTACGATACTATCTTAAAAGATAGATAAATATAAAACGAAATAAATATATTTTTTTAAAAATCCAAAATTGAGAAATATAACACGTGCCGTAAAGTATTTTGGCGACAATAGTCAAATCACTGACTAATCGCCAATAACTCAAAACACAACAACAACAACAACCAGTGGTATGTATGGTGTTGGCAACAAAAAAACAAAAAAACAAATCTAAAAAATTCAAAAAAATTCAAAAAAATTATAAAAAAACATGGTGTCCGAATATTCGGTATTCGCTTGTAAGCCTGGGAGTGTACTCGGGTACCTCATTACATGAAACCACATATCATCCACATAAACAGGAAAGTGTGGTGCAGGACTCCACGTACTCATACTGAAAGAAAAATTATCATTTGCTAATAGTGATGACAAAATTGAAACGACAGTTCCAATCTCTTAAACACATAACATTTGTATTGATCAGTGTAGATGTACATGTTATTGTATCAGGTGTATTTGCAATGTGTTATCTTTTGGACCCTGTGTGGTTTTCCTGTATTACTTGCTTCCTGAAATATCTGAAAATTTACATTCAAGTCCACCTGTGACTATGAAAGTAGGTCAAATTTACCACTAGATATTATCAAGATTCAACATGCTGCACAGTCATTATGTTGGTATTGTGGGCCCTGAGGCAGCCATACTGTGCATGACGTAATTGGGTTGATTACTAGTCTAAATACCAGTCTTGTTTGTTTCATTTATCCAAGACAACAATGTACATGTAGGTGGTGTGTTGTGATTTGGAAAGGTTGTGTTGTGAGTACATTAGTTCTGTAGTAGTATGAGTAGTAATGTGGGTGTATGGATGTGGGTGGGGAGGAATGTGGGATGACAAGGGGGGTCGAGAGAATCTAATAATACATGTATGATGTACCCAGAGAATGTTTTTTAGCTCCCACTGGGCTCGTGACAGATATTAACTCTTTACAATGTATCTGCTTTAATAGTCGACTGATCGGACAGAGAGTGGACTGCCACATCACAGTCGACTTTTGCCGCAATGTACAATTTACAATGGACATACAGTATGCTTCAGATGAAGCAGTCTAACTTTCAATCCATAGTACATAAAAAGTTGGTAAAGTGAAAATAAACGGGGGCTCCGGGCAAATTAGCCCCCAAAATGCCCAAAAGAGCCCCCGAAAGTCATAAAAGAGCCCCCAAAATTTGCATAGAGTTCAATGCAAAACAGATTAAAGAGTGTTGTTTTCAAGCAAGTAAGCTTGAAAAGTAGCCCCCCCAAATTTTTGAAGTATTTTTTTCCCTGAGTTGGTGGAAAAACTTAGGGTCTGGAGAAGAAAAAAAAAGGCATAGAAATCCCTGCAAGCATCTTAGTAAATCAATCCTAAAGAGCTCTATGAATTTTTTTTCTTTTTTTTTCAAAATATATTTTACCTAGTCTTTTACATGTGCCATAGTTAATTTGTAGACATGGGATAAATAGTGATATTAGATTAATTCCAATATGTAATTATGCTGAATTTTATTGAATTTAAATAGAGGAATCTGTGCAAAGTTATTATAATTGTACTAGATTGCATACAGTATATGTGCATACATCTGTAAGTATTCTGTTGATGAAAGAAGTTAACCTCTCTTTGTGTCGCTCTTGATTGGATTTCTAATGAGCCTCAATCGTAAGATAGATTGAATAGTTCATCTCAAGGGGGTTAATGATAATTAATCAATCTAAACTGTGAGATGACTCCAGCTAGTGAGATAGTGGATGGGGAAAACATCAAGGAATGTGTACGCAATCAATACAATCTTACTCATTTTAGGGAAGGAGAGGACGGTAAGGGGGGGGGGGGGGTGAGTGAGATGTCTCGAAGGAGAGTACAAATTTCTTAACCCCCTCCTCAAACAGCAACAAAGTTTTTTTCTAAACAAAACTGTTTACTTTTTTTTCAGGGGAGGGGATGTTGTTGACCCCTAGATCATTCACAAAATTTCTGTTTTGTCCCTATTTTCACGAACTGACGGTAGTGAGGAAAATCGCATACAATTTGTGTGACAATTTTCCTCACTACTGTCACTTCGTGAAAATAGGGAAAAATTATTTCAAGAAACAGTACATTTATTTTAGCAGATTTCGCGCTTAAGTCGGTGTCTGCGAATTTTAGAACCCGCAAAAATATAAACATGACTTCTTATGCGTGTTCTGAATGGGCTGAATTTGGTGCAACGCGAATTTAAGAACCAGTGAATATGTTTTTGGGTTGCTCGGCGCGAAAATACAGCGTTTACACTTTACAGTATGTCTTTTTTTTTGGGGGGGGGGGGGTTGAGATATTGGGATGGAGAGAGTGCTCATTTAACATTTTTGACTCCCTGTATATTTCAAAGAACGTTATAATGACTCTATGAGCTCTATCTTTCTCCTCATTCTCTTGTCCCTCTTCTCCATTTTCCTCCCAATTCCCCCTCTCTCTCTCTCTCTCTCTCTCTCTTTCTCTCCCTCCCTTCTTACTTTCTACATGTACAGTAAATCTCTATTCACCTTCCTCCATTCTCTCTCCTCCTCTAAACCTACTAAGGCTCTTTCCTCTCTCAAAATTACAAGTAATCATGTACATTGTATGTACAATATAGGTATATCATCATACCATAACCTCTGTACAACTTATAATATTTACTAACAAAGCTCTAAAGACTTGTCCTGTTGTAGGTCTTACACTTTAATACCGTACCCTTATCTTGTGCATGAAGATCAATTTTGCTGTAGGTTGCATGATTTATTTTACTTAAAAACAGCACTTTGTATTTTCAGACCGAAATAGACTACTCCCCTTTTCTGGGTAGAGAGGTAATTTTGAGGCAATTGGGTCAAATTAGCGAAATGAATTTGGTAGACAGGCTGAGTCATAATGGAGGAGAGTGGAGAAAGGGGTCGAGCAACCTCTCTCCCCGGTCATTTGCCTTCATCTGAGCGGATGGATATGAGTTTGAAAAACCTGTCAGAGATGATTTTTTTTTTTGCAGGATTGGTGGATGATTTGAAAAGATGAGAACTTGGGCAGACTTGCTGTACATATATGTACATTTACATGTACACTTCATAAGAAGAAAGTATGATTCTGGGCACTGGGCAATGTTAAAGGGTATTTATTTATTATATTCTGGCAGAAAGGGAATATCATTGTCAAATGTTTTTCAAACCGAAATGAGACATGATTTCATGCGTACATGTATGAGGTACCAGGGATGAAAACTACATGTATACAATTTTAATTAACACGCTTAGAAACAAATGAAGCTTAGTTTAAAAAGTGCTTCTTCGTATTATGGTGAAAATTGATGATGATTCTGATCCCCAAATACCTCTACCACAGGGAAAAAATCAATTACAACAAGCTTGCTTGCATGAAAATGACAT